TCGTTTATTGTCAACTATCTGTATTTTGATTTGAATTAATGAAGTTTCTTTTTCTCAAAAAAAAAACTTAAATCAGATCAGGAAAGTAAGACATATATATCTAATCCATTGACCTGAGTCAACCAAATTAAATTAAAGCAGGAATTTTGTTCAGGCCTGTAGATATGGACGTCTCCAACACGGCAATAGTACATTGCATCTTCAATTCCCTGTGGATCGAGAGAGAATGTTAGAAAATGTTTTATATATTTTGTTCCAATTGGAATTATATTGGAAGTGTTATTAATGAAAGTACAGATTCTCCAGCTTAACGTGGAAGGCAAGTGAAGTGATGTGAAGGTGACATCCATGAGTAGAGAATACGGGAATAATGAAGTTACGATGGATAGATGCAACGTAACGTAACGTAACTGCATGCCCTCATCTTCAATCCATATATTTTCTCCATCTCCCATTTTAATCACTTTTGATATCACAATATCAAAACTCATTATACCAAACCAAAATAAATAAATAAATAAACTTTTAATACAAAAAATATAACATAATTAATTAATTAATTACAATCATTCAATTCAATAAACACACTAAATAAATAAAGAATTCCTCAATTGTTATACCGTTGTTCACTGTGGACCCTAGTCCTGTATGATGTCGTTTTTGAATTCTAATTTTGATTGTAACCGTTTGTTTCTCAGTTCATGTCATATGCGGGTTTTTTTTTTTTTTTTTTTAATTGTAACGCATGTGTGTTTATTTGTGTCTTGTGTTGTAAGTTTTTGTGTCTTGTGTTATGAAATTATGAATTTTGTACCTAAAATAGATTAATAGTTGTGTAATATACACACAACATATTGTGCCTTATGTTATGAATTTATGTCTTGTATTGTGAAATTATGTGCCTATAGAACATAAAGTCTTTACCTAAATCAAATTTAAAAATAAGTAAATATATAACATGTGTATGTGTCTTGTGTTATGAATTTTTTGCCTTCTATTATGAAATTCTATACCTTGAGAGTGAATTTTGTAGATGAAATATATTAGTATTTGTGTAGAAACATAAAAAACATGAAACTGCAGAATCTGTTAAAATTTAAATATCAGAACAACGTCATATTCATATCGTGGACCAGGACAATTCATGTTCATAATGTACAGAATTTATGTTCATAATACACATATACATAAATACGATATAATGAAGACACATAAACACTTAACATAATACACAGAATTCATATTCATGATGTAAAGAATTCATGTTCATCATACACATAATTCATGTTCATTATATCATGTTTATATGTATGTGTATTATGAATATAAATTCTGTGCATTATCAACATGAATTCTGTATATTATGAAGCTAAATTATGTGTACTGAACCAAAGTCCACAATGCACTATATACCTTAGTCTACGATATAACGATTGTAGAATTAGCCACTTGAAGGGATAGTTATGCTGTGCATCCGTATGCACCATGCATGGTGCATACGGATGCCAAAACGACGTCGTTTTATTAAAAAACGCGCATCTCCCCTTTTAAAAAAATCCAGGCTCGATTCCCAGCAACAACATTATATTGTTCATTCATTCTAGAATTTTAGTTCATAGATTATGGAATTATAGTTCATTGATTATGGAATTATAGTTCATCGATTATGGAATTGTAGTTTATCGATTCTGAAATTTTAGTTTATAGATTATGAAATTTTAGTTCATTCATTCTGGAATTTTTAGTTCATAGATTAGATTATGGAATTATAGTTCATCGATTATGGAATTATAGTTCATCGATTATAGAATTTTAATTCATATGTTATTGCTGGGAATCGAACCGGATTTTTTTTTTTTTTGAGGGAAGACGCACGTTTTATTAAAACGACGTCATTTTTGCATCCGTATGCACCATGCACAGCATAATTTGCCCACTTGAGGGGTTTCATTATGATGTTAAAGGCCCATACATGTTGTTAGGGTTACAAGATGGAAGTCCAAAGGCCCATATCGTCTCGTCATCTTTGCAGTTTTTCAAGGTAATATGGGCATATGGCCTAGCCCTGAATCAATCAATAGTTATGCTTTGCAACCGAATGCATCATGCGCATGGTGCATATGATGTAAAACGATGTTGTTTTGACTAAAAAAGTGCGTTTCACTTTAAAAAAATAAAATAAAATAAAGGTTCGATTCTCAGCAATAGCATTATTGTGGATATATAGTTATGAATTTCTGGATATATAGTTATGAATTTATGGATATTTAGTTCATTCATTGTGGATATTTAGTTCATTCATTGTAGATATTTACTTCATTCATTCACTGTGGATATATAGTTATGAATTTATGGATATATAGTTATGAATTTCTGGATATATAGTTATGAATTTATGAATATTTAGTTCATTCATTGTGGATTTGTGGATATTTAGTTCAATCATTGTGGATATTTAGTTCATTCATTGTGGATTTTTACTTCATTCATTCACTGTGGATATATAGTTGTGGAATTTTACTTCATTCATTCACTGTGGATATATAGTTATAAATTTGTGGATATATAGTTATGAATTTATGGACATATAGTTATGAATTTATGGATATATAAAAATGCTATTACCGGGAATCGAACCTGATTTCTTCTTTAAGTGGGACGCGCATTTTTTAACCAAAACGACGTCGTTTTGCATCGAATGCACCATGCGCATGGTGCATTCGGTTGCACAACATAATTTGCGTGAATCACTGGGTTGTTATACAATGAACTATGGTCCATAATGCTACGTGGACCATGGTTGTCAAATAAAATTGTAGTATAAAATTAAAATGATATTTTAGTGTTGCTAAACTGAAACTATTGTTTGTGAGAAAATAAAACTAGAAGACAGAGCTCATTCAATAATGTATTGTCACCGGAGACGATGGTGGGGTGGCCGGCGTATTGTATTTTATTTTATTTATAAGTTTTTTTAATTTAAAAATTATTAAAATAATTTTTAAAATAAAAATTAAATAAATTAGCCGGTCACCAGAAAGTTTAACGGTACGACCAAACGTGATACTAATTGAATAGTCATGCACTTAATTTGAAAATGTTAATAGTCAAGGACCAAATGTGATATCAATTGAATAATCATGTACCTAATTTGAAATTTTTAATAATCAAGAACTAAAATTGATACATGTATTATAGTCAAGGGACTAAAAATGATATTTTTTCACATTAGTATTTGAACATTTTTTGTTGGTTAGTACTGTAGAACCCATATACGTGATGAGCTCTTCAAATTTTGATACTTTTTAAATTTTGACTTGATCAATTTTTTATTTTTCAAATACTACCTACTCTGTTACAATACAATATTAATTACTTTCTTAACTTCTTGAAATAAAAAGAGTCAATATCACCTCTACTCAAATCTACATACTATTGTGTAGATAGAAATACAAACAAGGGGAAGCGGCTTGTTTGCTTCAACTGAAATACTGAGTTGCCACTAGTTTTACTGCAAAGTTGGTGGCCTATCATCAACTTTCTTTATTAAGTTGAAACATAAATTGCCCGCATGAACTTAACTCATTAATTTGATAGGTAGTGTAGAAATTATGTTTAAAGTGAGTACATCTCGCACTGTCGTGGTGTTGTTTTAATGTATATTAAAAAAGAAAAAAAAACATTTCTCAATGGCGGTGGTGAAATGAATATTATCATTGAGACATTCCATATTCTTCTGCAATTTGGTCTAATCATTTCATTAACTAACTTATACAGTGAACCCCACCAACCCTTCATTGTTTAACATTCCCATTTCTTTGATTGACAAAAATAAAAAGGCAAAAAGGGTCCATCTTACTCACTAAACTACAATAAAACAAGCCATAAATTTCTCAAGAAAATGACTCAAATGATGAGTCTGCCACCATCAAAGCTCAATCCCACCAACTCTTTCATTGGAATAATAAGCCTTTAACACCAAGAAATGTTGATCAATAGACCCACCTCTTAACAAAAGCATATTGTGAACCGCAAAGCTAGACCAATTGATTCGATCGATCATCTTAAAGTCTTGCTCCGGTAACAGTGTGAGAGTTTAAATCCCACTAAAAACCCGAGGGTCATAGAAAGACCTTAACCGATCAGAGCTAGGCCAATTGATTCGACTGATCATCTTAAAGTCTTACTCCAATGGCGGTGTGAGAGTTTGAATCCCACTGAAAACCTGAGGGTCACGGAAAGACCTTAACCGATCAAAGCTAGGCCAATTGATTTGATCGACCATCTTAAAGTCTTGCTCCAGTTGCAGTGTGAGAGTTTGAATCCCACTGAAAACCTGAGGGTCATGGAAAAACCTTAACCGAACAGATCAATAGACCTGGGGATTGATGAGGCAACTCGTGATTTATCTCCTATAAGGGCTATGGGGGCTTAGGCCGGGTAAGCAGTGATACCTAATGTATTTTAAAAAAAAAAAAAAAAAAAAAAAAAAAAAAAAAAAAAAAAAAAAAGCATATTGCAACTATGATTGTCTAGCCAAGTACCAATTGATCTGTGCTGGCTTGATTGGCTATTATATGCACAAAAACCTTTTTGTAAAGCCAAAAATGTAGAGCCAAACAAATCATTTATGTCATATATTCATGGAACTCATATTCCTCCCAACTTGATTTCATAATTAGCACCAATGGTTCTTTGGTGTATGTGAGCCATAGCTGCTGGTGGGCGCCTTTTGCGCCTCATCTCCTCGCGCAGATGAACAAGGATTTCGCACCACACTGAATTGATTAACCATTGTTTCATCATGGCACTGACTTCCTTAATTCCCAAAACATGGCATCAGAACCTGTGACAGATACCCTTTTGTTCCCAAAAACAACAACAGCAAGCCGCGGAGGGCCATTTGTGTAGCAGACAGACAACATTAAACTATTCTGAGGTTCAGTAGTGGTTGGCCTAAAAGGAATCATGGCTGGCTGCTACACTGGCAAAAAGTAATGAAAAACCAGCAAAACATACATTATCATATAAGCATTGTTTAGTTGAGTATATATTGGCATACCTTTTGGGTGTTATGCCCGAAGAGTTACTATTGAATTGCCCGTACCAATCGAATATTAACCCCTCTGCAAATCTCCCCCTAAATTCAAGCTGCCTTCTACAGTGTTAGTTTGTGGTGATTAGCATGTGAACATGACTATAATCATCATAATGGTATGATTTCGATTCCCATTTATATAGAGGTGCATCGGAGTGTGATTGGAGTCCCAGTGTTGATCATTACCCACTCTACTTTTTTCTGTTGCAGGATTTGGATAGTTGAAGATGAGAACAGAGATGGGGAACACAAACACATCAGGAATCCAAGGTACGAAAAAAGTTTCGTGTTTTTCTCAGAAACTTTCTGCAGATTGCAGCTTTTAACACTTTGCTGATTCTTGATGGTTCAGAAGAAGAGGGGGGTGATTATACTAAAGCTCCAAACCAGGCTGAAGAATCTGCAGAATTATCTCTGAATAACCCGCCTTCTGCAAATGATCATAACGTAGAAAATGGTTAGCATATTTCTCCATTTCATGAAAATAATAATAATAACTATCGTATCACTCTCAGTTAATCGCACAATTCTAATCTGACTCGTGTCTGATAGAGCAAGACGGGGTGGATAAGGAACGCGTTTCTCAGTTTTCTGAAGTTCAGTTAGAAGCAAAGGATTTGGGTATAAAATCCAGTGATATCCAGACAGTTGATTCGATCGAAGAAGTGGGGAGGGATGAAGAATCAGTGGAACCAAAATATGGAGAAAACAGTGGAAGTAGTGATCAGTTCTTTACTTACTCAGGTTAGCATCTCCCACAGCTCTAATTATACTCCTAAGTTCATCTTAGTTTAATCTCATATGCATCAGTATCCAGAATAGTTTCCGGTTCTTGAAGTTCATACAAGATAATAAGTATATATGCACAAAAGATCTCACCTTGGGTTCTGCTTAATGTGCTAAAAATCACGACAGGGGAGGTGGAAAACGTTGATGCAAATCTCGACTCTAATGGTCCTGTCCAGCCTCTAGACCCCGCCTTCAATCGACCACCAAGCAACAGAGAGAATTTTGCAGAAATGGATGATTCTTGTAGTGATGATGATACGAATCACTGCAAGAAGACAGAAATCGAACGTACTAGTGCTATAGATGCTTCTGGTGTTGATGTTGAGGATGTGGACGAGGAAAATAATGAGTTGATGATGGAAGAAACGGCTTCTCAACCAGACAGAGCGATCAAGGAAGAAGTGAGCTCGAGGGATAAGGTTGAAAACGGTTTGGCAAATGAAGGTGATAAAGAGGGCAATCTTGAGGTGAATTTGGATAATCTAGAAGATGTTGCCAAGATGAATACATTAGACTGTTCTGATCCAGCCTCGAAACCAAACGAAGAACGTATGGTTCTTCCTCAGGAAACTGGAAATGGAAAGAACAGCTTTCCAGTGCCTGAAGAACAGGAAGTGAATGAATTCATGATAGAGTCTCATAACCAGGAAAAGGAAGAGGAGAATTCCATTTCTTGTTTGGGAACTGAATCCATAGAACAGCAGGATCTGGTGTCTAACAAATCTCGACCCGACATTGATGCTAAAGAAGCTACTGACATAGTCTCGGGAGAAGAGATCTCCATTGTCCATAACCATGAAGAAGAGGAGGACAACACAATCAAGCAAATTTTCGTCACAAATGAGGTACGAGAGAAAGAACAACCTCAGAATGTTAATGCAACTCCCGGGACAATATCAGAACACGAGATACCATCAGACCTATCCGATGAGCAATGTGCAAACGGGATCATTTCTCCACTTCCAGTCATTCATTCTAAAACGGTGGAAACCACGAGGAGGTACAGTGTGGACTACACCTCAGAACAACCTGCAGGCAATCAGATCGAAACCAGAAGGTTCCCAAGCTTTGATTTTGGCATTCCTTTCGATGCAAGGTCTTCTGAATCTGATCAAACGCCCCTTCTCCGCCCTGACAAGCCCCCTACCAGACGCTTATCAATCGACTTCCAAAACACAGCTCTGCAAGCCACATACGCCCGAGACTCACTGGACTACGATACAATGGGAGTGGAAGAGAAAACCATTAGAGTGGAGAGAAGTGATCCTGATGCCGGCCCATTCTTGATCACGCTAAAGAAAGACGAAAATGGTAGCCTCACAGACAAAACATCAAACAGTTTGCTTGCAGATATGAAGGAAGGGAACATGATGTTCAAGAACATCCCTCCAGCAAATGATCAACTCGCATTAGCTTCACCCAAAAGCGGAAATGGGAAGCGAAAGCCTCTCCCTTCGTTCTTCAGCACATGCATCTGTTGCACAGCTACCATCAACTGAAAAACCTTTCATCAACACACTCATCATCATTTACTGTTTTTCTTCTCTTTTTTTTCTTGATTTTACATGATTGATCTTTTTCTGACTTGTCAGCAGAGTGTTTATTGTGAAAAAAAACATGAGAGTGATGCTACTCTACACATTACTAGAATTGAACTTTTTTGTGTTTTTTTTTCTTGGTTTATGTTTGAGGAAATCCAATGAGGTTTGGACTTTGGAGGGATGAAAAACTGCCTTTGATTGTAACCCAATGTATATGTCTATTGATTTATGGTTTTCAGTTTATAATTTCATGATTTGATCATCCATGAAAGTAAGCATCGCTGTTTCATTTTCCACTCTCTCAGATGGGCTGGCCTTTGGGAACAATTTGATCTTTAAGCCACATATAGATCGGAACAAGCACGAAATAAGTTGCTGCAATTGTACCAAGGATGAACCGCAAGAGAAAAACCAGCGGGTTCGCTGGCTTGCTCACGTCCTCAGCCTTCGGGCCAAGCTGTGATTGGAAAACACAAGTTTCAAACTCGAGACAGATATATGTTTGGCAAGAAAGTTGCGGGGAATTTGTATAAAGGAGCTATAGAAAAATAACTTTCCTACCTGCAGGGGAGAGTCACCGGAATATGGCTTCACGCCTGTGACAGAGCAACCCATAATCAAGCCATGGCGACGAACACCTCTATACCATTTTGGGCCAATCCTCTTAAGTTTAACTTGAGAGAAACCGGCCTTTTTGAACCAATCAATGTACTCTTCTTCTTTCGGGAAGAGCATCCACAAGTCAGCAAAGAAACGAGACAGCCAAAAGGTTGGATAAACCGGACCAATAATGCAGGCTACTCCCCCGATACTCAACACCCTATATGCTTCCTTGATGCCACGTTGTGGATCTGGCCAATACTCAATGCTGGAGAAAACAACCATACGATTAATGTAAGCTGCTGGACCTCACAGTTATCAGACATATGCCAATAACCTAACCTAAAATTCTCATCGTACATCCTTTTATATTCAAAGTAATAAAAAGTTGTCAACCAAACGCTAACTATGATTTTGATTCCCATTCCTAGTGTGTAAACCCATGAACCAAACACACTGCTCAGTAACTTTTGCCTATTGGTTTTCTATAATATATGAAGTGCAATGAATCACCTTACCCCATCCTACCCACTACTACTCTACATTGTTTCAATTGTTTTAATGATGATAAGAGAAGGGCATTTAGCACATAGACAAACTTAAGCAACACTCTCCCCTAAAAGTTGACTTTTTATCTTTTTTGAGTGTTGATGGAAACTCAGAGCCACTATCCGAGGGTATGCCTGGCTAAACTCTGCCTTGTGACCTTAGCTGACAAAGAACCACAAGCTATCTGAGGGTATGCCTGGATAAACTCTGCCTTATGACCCTAGCTGACAAAAGACCACAAGGAGGTAAACTAGCCGGTGACATTAAAAGTTTACTTTAATGATAGGAAAACATGGCCTATGCTATATACATGACATGGTTATGCAGAGTAACAAGTTTGACCACATTTCACTATATGGGTTAGATTGATTGTTTTCTCTATGTTCAACTCCTCTTATCACTATAGTAGCTGCAAAACCAGGGAAAGCAATATAATATTCCCAAAAACCCAATGAATAAACAGAACCACTTGAAATTTGGCAATCCTAATCAAGAACATGCCAATATGGCACACTCCTAAAATCTGAAAGTAAAGTTAGCAACTTTACCTTCCAGCAGAGATGTATCTATCAAAAGAATCATTGGGAAAGGGGAGATCCTCAGCATCCCCTTCAAGGATCTTACACTCCTTGGTGGGGTGACTGATCAATAATGGTCACATTCTTGGGATCAACATGCTTAACAATCCCAAGAGTGGTGAACCCAGTTCCACCCCCCACATCCACCACATTCAAATACCTACTGCTCAGCTCTGCAGGCTCAAGAGCCTCATCCCTCATGTCCTCAGTCCAATGCCCAGGGTTTATCACATGATCATACACAATTGAGAGGAATCTGTAGAACCAGAATGCCTCTTTCTTGTGCTGTATGAACCTGGGTTGAGAAACCGGCGTTGAAGAGAGGTTTTGCAATCAGTTTCTTGAAATTAGAAAGAAGAAGACGACGAATAATTGAGTGGAGTTTGTGTAAGATGAAGACATATATGAGCAGTGGCTGGGCGGGAATGGGGTTGAAGCCTGAAGGGAGTAACAGTTGCAGCTTTACTTGTCTGCTGCCACATGTTGAGATTACGATGGAAATTGGTGGGGGGACAGAGGCCACAAGCTCTAATTAGTGATTATTTGTTTTATGGAATAAGGTTCAAATTGGCCACTGAATGTAACCTGAAAATGCAATTAGGTCACTGAACGAAAAAAAAGTGCAATTAGGTCATTGAACACTCAAAAAATGTGCAATTAGGCCACTGAACTCTCCAAACGTATGCAATTTTATCGGATAGCAGGTTACCATCAATTTTAGCAGGTTACCTGCTTACGTGGCAGCTTAGTTGGCATTTTTAATAATTTTTAAATAATTTTTAATAATTAATTTTAATAATAAATTTTATAAAAAATTGGAAAAAATTAAATAAAAAATAAAATAAAGTCGTTTTTATTTTTTTAAAAAAATTTTAATAAAAAGTTATTATTAAAATTTATTAAAAATTAATTAAAATTTATTAAAAATGCCAACTCAGCTGCCACGTAAGCAGATAACCTGCTAAAATTGAGGGTAACCTGCTATCAGGTGAAATTGCACATTTTTGGAATGTTCAGTGGCCTAATTGCACTTTTTTTTCGTTCAGTGGCCTAATTGCATTTTCAGGTTACGTTCAGTGACCAATTTGAACCTTATTCCTTGTTTTATTTAGGTGACAAGAAAACCACGACTATGTGGTTTGATGGTACCCGAGTTGGACCTCAGTGAAAGCGTTATTAGTTCTTTGTAAATAGATATTACGTTGTAATAGAGCCAGTAGCATTCAAAAAAGGTGACAAGAAAACCCATCATCACACTCTGTGACAGATAAATTATATTTTTGTGCACTAAATCACAAATCACATTAGAGAGGGGAGATCAAATGCATCAGAAAAAGTATGTACAACAAATTCAATCGAATTAGTGTTAACAAGGTGATTATTTCTTTTATTAAGAAGATTAGGGATGACAATTTCACTTTACTTCGACCAAAAATTCCCCATTGAGATAGAAATAGGAAAAAAATATTTCTCCCTATAAAGACAAGGATGAAAAATGGGGCGAAATTTTGAGAACGGAAAGTATACTTCTTATTATGTCAGTCCTATTGGCATCCCTAGAGAAAGCAAATGGAAGTGGGTAGTGGAGACGTGGAGTGTTTGTTTGCTCTAATATCAAATTGAAAATGATACTGAAATTACATATATACATGTTTAATTATATATATATATATATATATATATATATATATATATATATACTCAATAACCTCTTAGTTTGAGTGAAAAATGACTTGCATAAGTAAGAAGGGAAAATGACACTTTTCCCCTTTGAATTATAGGCTTAGAGTTTTTTTTTTTTTTTTCTGAAGTTATTCATGTATTCACATTTGTCCGCTCAATTATTTTAAAAGTGACGATTTTTCCCCTTTAATGTTAAATGGATATTTTTACCTTTAAAATAATTATTTCATTTATTTTTCTTTTCTAACCAATTATTACTTATATGTAGGGATAATCACAGTTCGATTTGAACCAAATCGGACACTGTACCAACCGAACTGAAATAATAGAGACAATTCTTGTTACGATTCATAATTGGAAAAAAAATTGTTGAATTTAAACTATTTTAAAATAGAAAATAGAAAATAGAATTTACAAAAAGAAATAAATAAATTTTGAACCTGCGATTCAAACCGAAACTGGAATCAGAATAAATGCAAATCGGAACCAAACAGATTTATCATTTACAAATGGTGTTTACAATCTGTCAGATTTATCATTTACAAATGGTGTTTACAAATCTGTTTGGTTCTAGTTTGTATTTTTTTATTTTTAATTTTGAAGGCGACAATTTAATGCATTAAATCCGAAAAGAAGACAAGCAAGAAGATAATGAGGAGGGTTATCAAACCACTCCCCGCAACAGAAACGGCTTCCCGAGCAACAGTGTAGGCAGCACGATTCGCAGATCGCTTAGCAAAGCAGAAGATTACACCACTTATAGTGGATGCAACTTCTTTAACATCATCAATAAAAAATCCAAAAGCATAATTAAAAGAAACAGAACGTAAAGCAAAATAAACAACTTGAGAGTCAATTTCAACATCAACATCCCCCATGCCGGTCCCCTTTAGCCAACTGAGGGTAGTTTGCAGATTCCAGTTTCAATTTGAACCTTCAGTTCAAAATTTATTTATTTATTTATTTTTGTAAATTCTGTTTTTTATTTTTAAAATAGTCTAAATTCAACAATTATTGTATCTTATTTATTTTCGGTTCTGAATTATAACAAGAATCATCCCAACTATTTCAGTTCAGTTGCTATAATGTTCCGTTCAATTCAAATCGAATAGTAGTCATCCGTACATATAAGTAATGATTTGCTGGAGAAGAAATAAATGAAATAATTATTTTAAGAGTAAAAATGTTCATAAAAATTGCCACTCTTAAATGGATAAATGTGGATACACGAATAACTCAGGGAAAAAAGTGATATAAGTCTATAATTCAAGAGAAAAAGTGTCATTTTTCCTAAGTGAAAATTAAGTTAATTTATTTTAAACTCAAAAGTATTACAATACTCTCTTGACTCTTGTACCAAAAATGTTGTAATGTACATGGTGTTCTAGAGAAAGAGAATAGGACAAGAGATAGAAATTGACATGTGACTACTGTAAATGCATAGTGAATGTATAATCCACGTGAAGATCTGCCAAAATCACTTTAAATCATACCAAAATAAAGCACAATAACAGAAGTCTATGATTCAAGCACTTTAAAAGTAAAAAAAAAAAAAAAACAAAAAAAAAAAAAAAAAAAAAACTTGTTGTTTTATTAGGTTGCATAGATATAGACAGCATTCTCAAAAAAAAAAAAAAAATATATATATATATATATATATATATATATATATATATATATAGACAGCATTTTAAACCGTACTAAAGCAATATAAAAATCTTTTTGAATCTTATAGAGGGCAAAAAACTTAACTCGATTTATATTAGTAATTGATCTTATAGTTAAAGATTTGATTTTTTGTATATTAATTAGGCAGATTTCTTACCCTTTATCTCTGGTTTGAGGCTTTGAGCAATTCAAATGGTGGAGGTAAACCTTAATATTTTGATTTACGGGAAAGCCTGCAGCCAGTATCAAAGGTTATAAGCATTAATATTATGAGGCATAAATTATGAAAGTGCAACAGAATGGTTTGAACACCATTTCAAGGTCAGATTACAGTGAGAAAAGTAACATTTTTATACCAACTATGCCTTCTATATAATCTAAAAGACCTGCAAATCTGCAAGGCCACAATTATAACTTCTGAAGCAACAACACCATAAAGTGTGCATTAGAACTGACAAAAAGAAGCACAGAACACACTTCTCATGGCCATTCTGATGGTCTCTTAACTTCTTTGAGTTGCACAGAGTTCTCAAAGCAATGATAGAAGCCATAATGTGGGAATCTCTCATACCATGTTTCTTCCTCAGCATGAGTGTCCCAGTGCTCCCCGCTGCTGCTCTTGCCGTACTTGTGCACCCATCCCGACCCGTTGTGCCCCTCGCCCCACGTGCGGTTCCATCTATCGCCACTTTTGCCTTCCCACCACGTCTCCCCTTGTTTCACCCCGTTAGCGTTTAAATCAAAGCTCTCGTCCCATTTGTCGCCCCATTTCGACCACCCATCACCTTCGCACCGCTCAGCCCATTTGTCCGTGTACTTCGTCGCACCTCCATGCCCATCATATTTCTCGCCCCACCTGCCAAGAAATGTCGGCATTTTTAGTTTTCTTTCCTAAATCTTCAGTCACTTTCTATTACATTGTAGTATCTGTTCATCTATACTTTCTCAACCTGTTGAAGCACAAAGACTCAACACCACCTCCACTGAGGCTCAATCTCATGACCTCCCATATGGGAGAGTCACTACATGCTATCTGAGCACAAGGTGCTTGGCAACATAGATTATAGTTTAATCAATATAAAAGCGAGAATATAGTTTCAAGAACGAAGGCACAATATGACCAATAAATTACGGTACCTTTCATGCCACACGTGAGCGTGGCCAGCATCAAGAGGCGTGTTAGGATCAATGCTGCACCACTTATGTGCCCATTTCTCCGCTTGGCCAGAAGCATCGTAATGTTCCCACCATTGCTCCTGCCATTCTTCACCTATCCCGTTCTTTGCCCACTTATCCGCAGTTTTCTCCATGTGGGCAAGCCCAGAGCTCTGAAAAAAACATAAAACATCATCAGACCAAATAGGCAGGTGTTCTCCAAATTCTCGACTCGTAAACTCCAACTTCCAATAGATGAGCATAAACTTGGGTAGCTATAAGTGACCCTATGCTTCTTGAAAACCATTACCCACTAGGTAAATCCCGCAAACCACACAGGAGAGGTAAACTGCACTAGGAAGACCCCGTGCAATTTGGAATGTCAAAGAATGGAAGGAGATGTTAAATTGGCTTCTTGGTAAGAATGAAAAGAATAAAGATTCAAGCCCAAAGCCTAACCTGCCCCATCGATTCTCTCCAATATTCACGCCACACATTCCCTACAGCATCTCGTCCTGATTTCTCAGAACCCAATTCCTTGTACCCAAACTCATCGGCAGCTTCCCAATACTTATTCTCCCACTCGATAGTTTTATCTGCACTAACGCCCCTAATCACCGTCCACTTGCAGATGACCCCATCCGGTCTTCGTTCAGTTCCCGTCTCCCTCCACCACCTCGATCCATCAGCATTGACTCCGTCCGAAGAAGCCTCCTCGACCTGATCCAGTGCAAGAGCAGCTTCAGCCGCGTGCGTTGAAAACTGAACACCGAGTTCATGCTCCTCCTCTTGATGAGGCATATCTAACGTAGCGCTAGAAGTGCCCAAATCCTCAACCTCCACGAGTGACTGAAGCGGGGGAAGAGGAGGACCGATTTTACTCCCCAAAACAGCAGTCTCGAACGGGATTGTCAGAAAATCTGCAGAGCGTTCTTTCTCCATTACAGGACTGCTCAGATTTGAAATCGGAGAAGCTTTGGTGTCTGATTTCACCAGATTGTCATCATCATCAGGAGGTGCCCATGCCCAGAAGTTCGGCCCAGGCGTTGAATTAGTGATGCTTATTGATTGTGGCACAGATAAGCTGCCATTTTCCAACCCTGATCAAGAATCTTAACATCTGAGCAATAAAGTTACAATTTTTTTTGATACATTAAGTTTCACAGCTTAGCTTAGGTTAAAGTGAGAATTTTGTGAGCTTACAAATGAAAGAGTAATTAAGTAGAGAAATGAAGCAAAAACACAAATAAAAGGATGAGTAAATCATAGATTTGGGGATATGGGAAAGAAAGGGTATATTATCTTCTACAAAATATAAAATTGAATTTAAGAAACACAGCCATAATGGCATAATAAATAAATAAATTATATGAATTTTACAGGAAAATTTACCTCCTTGTTGATTCTCCTCATTTTCTTCACTCTGAAATTCCATTTCGCCGGAAACCTCCAGCTGAGGCCGGGGATTCTCCTTCAGCAGTGCCCTAGCCGCCGCGATCGCCGCCGAGGCACGATCAATGACTTGCATTCTCTGAATTCTATCTCTTTCCTCGGGCGAGAACTCGAGAATCTTCTGGAACTCGTTGCTCTTCCTCTCCATCGCTTCCGGGCTGTCCTCCTCGTCGGCGCCGTCGTCGTCTTCATCGTCGCTGGATTTTCTACTGTTCTCCACGATCTTCTGGAAATCCAGAGACTTCCTCTCGCGATCCATCGCCGTCTTCCACATGTCCAAATACGACAATTCCTCTCCTCCTCCATCCGAGACTCTGATTCTTGAGCTCTTCCTGCTACACACGAGGCTATTCCAGGCCGGCGGAGATTCTTTAGTAGAAAAGGAAAATGGGTATTCTAGGTGGTGCTTTTGGGTTGCCGGGACGGCGGCGCGTGAGGCGACAGTCGGGTAAATAGTGTGGAAATGGCTCGCCATTGGGAAGTGTTTTGCCGGTGCCGAGAAGGAGGTGGAGATCTCTGGGCGGTGTGTATTTATATAGGGAGTGTAAATTTGAGGTGGATTTTTTTTTTCAATTTTATAATTTTTTTTTCTGAGAATATTTTGTATCCACTGATCTTTGTAAAAGAAAAGGATTTTCTTGAAATTTAAGGAAGGTTGAGATGCTGTCTCCTTTGAGTTGGCAATGAGTAAAGGTGCCAGATTTAACGGATTTAACTGTTCCTTTAATGACAGATGGCATAAAGTGAGTGGCCCAGATGTCATTATTTATATAACGTTCGTTTGGGCAATATGCTTAAGCCTTCATGGATCACAATATGCTTAGAACTATATTTTCCTTTATAATCTTCTTCTTTTAAAAAAAATAAAAAATAAATTCACATCACTATTTGAATATACAATTCAGGTAAAACCTATCTTAGGATCCTAACCAATAAAGAACTACAAGAGCGTAAACTAATCTAAATTATGAATCTCTCAAATTGAAAAATAGCTTATTGTGATTATCAAATCAACTATCCAATGTACTTGGATAGTTTTATACATTTCTTACTTAAATTAAATTGTGGTTGAACAGCCGCTCCAAGCAATAGTATGTGTTTCATCTCAACTAAAAACCTAAGTTGATAATTGAATTGCACATTTATTATTTATATGTATTATATACTCAACACACCAAACCATACCTAATGAGATAGATTCCAATCTCAATTGTCATCTACAAACTACAACACACAATCAGAATAACCCTAGACCACACTCAACAATCACAAAATTCCAATCACCAAACCCCTAAATTAAATCATAATGTTCTTTCACTATTGAAGGACACATCATAAAAAATTTGAAACGCAATAAATATTTTATTGATATAAATTTAGGAGTATCATACCCTTATTACAAACACAATATGACTGAACAATACATTATTAAAACCACACTTGGAATTGAAGGACACACATCATGAGATTAATTGGGAAATGGAATTGGGAAAGAACCAAATTAAACATGACTGATGACACCAACAAAAGGAATATGCCCGCACGAACTTAGCTCACTGTTGATTCATTAGACAGTATTTGGGAGAAGACCAGATCGAGGAACATATCCTAAGCATAAGCCTGAGGGTTCTGAATAAGATAGGCCTCCACAGCTTTGTACATTGCAATCACCCTCTCTTTCCCAGCCTTGATTTCTTCTTCCTTCATCTTGAAATCCCCAACAGTGTAGTACTTGCTTGTCACCTTAGAAATGGAGCCACCCTCCGCCGTCTTCTCAAACTTCACCTCGTACGTTATCTTCTCGAGCTGATCTAACAGGGCGTCGCCTTCGACCAACGTGTACTTGTACGTCAATGTCTCCTCGTTCAGCTCGTCGATGTAATATTTTATCGACTTCAAACTACTACCTGCACGGAACACAAACTTCACCATTATTCTCAAAATGTAAGCTTGTGTTTGAACATATAACCATTAATGTGCAATCCAACTATTAGCTTAAGTTTTTAGTTGAGATGGAGCACATGCTTCAATTTGATATCAAAGCCAGACTAAAAGTTTAAACTGATGACCTTCGGGGAAGTTGATTTGCTTAATGCTGCCAGTGCCCCCGGTGCCTTGGACGATGTCAATGCTCTTGATGGCTTGTGGCATTAGCTTTGGGATCAAGTTGTGGGAGTCGACAATTGAGGCCTTGAAAATCCTCGAAGGGGCGACCGGAGAAGTCTGCTCGTCGGTGTAGGTGGAGACGCCCATTTTTGTTTTCTTTTCCTTTCTATAGAGAAAAGTGAAAATCAGAGCAGAAATGGATTCAAGAATTGGAGAAGATCGATGAGAGAAGTTGTTGGGTGCAGAGAAATGGAATGGCTATGGTATTTATAGGCTAGCTTGTTTTGTTGTCTGGTAGAATGTAGTTGACAGACAGTCAGAAAAGTTGCTGTTTTTCTGAAATTTCAAGGTGGGGAACAGAACAATTTAAGGAATATGCAATTTGTTAAGGATATAAAATATTATTGAAGGTGAAATATGCTGACTTTTGTCGTGTGTAACAACAATCTTTCTGTCACCCAACTTCCATTCTTTTGAACAAACAGATGTCTTCTCTTGTTATTCTAAACGAGCGCATGGCTCAACAAAAGAAATTGGGAAAAATTGTTGAATTAGCCTCTTTAAGTCCAATGAATAATCCAATTAGATGTCTTAATAGAAAAAAGTTCCAATAGCCAAACACAAAAGAACCTGGAAGCAAGAAAAAACACATAGAAAAAGTAAGTATAGCACGAGCCACACTTTTTAAACTTATTGCGATAAGAGTTTCTTATTCCAGGCATCAATCATTTGCTTGATCTTATTCTAGATATATGAAAGAGTAAATACCCAAAATGGTCTCTCGACTATAGCTAAATTCACAAATTGGTCCTCAACTTTCAATTTCAACCAATTAAGTCCTTAACTTTGTAATTTTGACACGATTTGGTCCTCTATCTATTTGACCGTTTGTTGACCGTGATCGACGATCTCCAGAAGAACCTTCAGCTCTCGTCGGAGCACGTGGAGGCCTCCAGGATGACGTTGCACTGGTTCAGAAACACGTCGTCTTCTTCACTCTGGTACGAACTCAACTACATTGAATCCAAAGGGAGGATGAAGAAAGACGACCGGATTTGGTAGATTGCTTTCGGCAGTGGATTCAAATGTAACAGTGCGGTCTGAAAATGCAACCAGAACCTTAAAAAATCGACGATGGACCATGAAATTACATATATATCCTCAAAAATCACAATCAACAAACGGTCAAATAGACAGAGGACCAAATTGTGTTAAAATTACAAAGTTAAGGACTTAATTGGTTGAAATTGAAAGTCGAGGACTAATTTGTAAATTTAGCTATAGTCGAGAGACCGTTTTGGGTATTTACTCTATATGAAGAATAGCTCTCTTATTCCTGCCCACAAAGGAAGGTAAACCCAAATATTTTTCAAAATTGGGAGCTTGGGAAACCCTCAAAATCAACACCACTTCCTCTGCATCAGTTGTATTCATGCTAAAACACGCACTAGATTTATGAAAGTTAACCGTTTGACCATACATATCCTCATAACAACGAAGTCCATGTTTAATAACACTCGTCTCCTGCACATATGCCTTGAAAAATAACAAACTATCATCAACAAAAAACAAATGGAAAATGGGTGGAGCACCTTCTGATCTGGCCACCCTACAGCCATGAATAGAACCCAAAGCCTGAACCTGCCTGGGTCCCCTTAAAGAGATAACCGTCCGCTGTTGATTCCATTAATCATAAAATTGTAAGAAACCATAGTAATACAATTCATAATTAAATTCACCCAGCCATCAGCAAAGCTTAGCGCCAACAACATCCTTTGTTAGAATGGGGATTAGTCAGAGTATATATCTTTACTTCACCTCATTACGTGGCATATATGATTAAATATTTTTTTAAAAGTCAAATAGACTGTTGAAAGGGGATTAGTATGAGTATGATACGGGCTTAAAGGTGCCTCTTACAATTATGGCTTACTCAGGACCCCTCATGGTCTGTCAAAAAAAAAAAAAAAAAAAAAAAAGACTGTTAAATTTTATACAAAAAAATTATTAGGCTCAACTTTAAAAAGTACAATTAAACACATTTACTTATCATTTTTGTACATTTCAGCTCAATAGTCGATTATTCACTAGTAGATACAAATTATTAAGTCTATATGCACAAAATAACAAGTTAATGTATTTAGTTACAATTTTTTTAAATTTTAACGACTTAATTGTTTTATTATATAAATTTCAAGGAATTATTATTATTATTTGTATTTGATTAATAAACATATTTACTTCTTTTTTTTAACATAATTACGGTAGATGAACGTTGGAAGGTAAAATATCATCATTTCATATCATTATATTGTATCCATAATCTAGAACAGACGCACCTTGTTTTAAAAAGTTCAAATATAACGGCTATTTTCATTTTCACCTCTGCTCTCTTCCTATTGCACTTCACATTCTCTCGTTTTCTTCTCCCAATTCTCTCGTTTTCTTCTCTCGCCTCTTGGCGATTTCCGGCGGTGGAGCTCTCTCCGTCGCCGACATTCTAGGCGGCCAGTCTCCAACGACTTCTCCTCGTGGGTTCTACGGCGACTCTCCGGTGAATCTCGTCCAGACTCTCAGGCGCAGAAACCCTACGGTGGTTTTCGTTTCTTTATCAGGTTTTCTCCTTCCCTATTGTTTATTAAGCCTTTCTTTTTTCCGATTTATTTCTCTGCTTAGTGCTCTCTGGGTTTCAATTCTCTCGGATCTAGACGTACCGTGGAGATCCCGACTCCCTTCTCGGCGGCAATTCCAGTCAAGGGTTTTGTTTCCTCATCGGCGGCGTCTCTGAGGTGAGACCGGTTGGCGTCCAGGCTGGGATAGAGTCTCCGGTTGCACCTCGTGGCCGGCGCGTGGCAGTCCGTGACGGTGAACTAGACTCTGGAGACGAACTCTCTGTCACTATTTTGTGAGTTAATTTGTCCTTTCCTTATTTTGCGCCGCATTCCAGTTTTCCTAGATGGACCTTTTTCAAAGATTTCTATACTATTGGTAATGTTTATTGCCTTTCTTGGATCCTCCGACTCTGAAATATAAATTTTTTTATATAGACAAGTATAATTTTTATTTTTATTTTGGATTTTTGTTTTAGTATCTAAGTAGATTTTGGTGATGATGTTTGCAGATGAATGACTTGGTAAGAAAGTTTATAATAAATGGCATCAGTGGGTGTACCACCTGCTTCTGGTATGAGAGAATCCAGTGGTCACACTGTTGGTGTTGATAGTTTGCCTGGGGAGATGAATGACATGAAAATCAGTGATGATAAGGTCTGCTTATGCCATCATTTTTTTTTTCCCCAGATCTTGTGATTATTATTTTTCATATATTACCACTTGTTGCTTTAATAAATTTGTTTTGTTTATAGGATATGGAAGCAGCAGTTGTTGATGGTAATGGGACTGAGGCAGGTCACATAATAATGACAACTATTAATTGGTGGTCACAATGGTCTACCAAAACAGGTAAGTTTGTTAGTCTCTTTTGGTATCTGATTGCTTGTTAAAAGGCTCATGGTTTTGTTAAATAAAGCAATACTCCTATTATAGGAGGCTAAAGTAAAACTTTAAGGCTCATGGTTTTCTATTGTGATGGATTTAGTAACTTAAAAAATATTCATATGTGATGTATACAATGCTCACAGCCTTCTCTCCTTTGGAAGGTAAAAAACATGTAGAATAAAATAGAAGTCAAATATCTCTATGTGATTGTGCACATTCAAGTCTAATCATTAGTTCTATTATATCTTTATGTCAAGATTATTACTTGTATCATGTGATGCTTTAACTGCTTTATATGTTTTTACTTGTCAGACATGGGTGCTTCTTTTATCGTATGACAGTTCTAGTTTTGAGAAATGGCCTCTTCCTTTACTGGCATGATACTTCATATTTTCCTCTGGGTCCTATGCTTGCAGACTATAAGGATCATTTGGTGTAATATTTCAGGTATGATTATGTTATCTTTATGTTGACCACTGCATGCCTGTGGACTGTCTTTCTTGACCCCCTTTCCCTGCCTCTCCTCTAAGAGCAATCTTCTGTGTATACATATGCTGCTCTCTTGTACTAATCAGGCTAAATGCTTAGAAACTGGTGAAATTATGATGATCTAAATGAATACTTCTGGTAACTCTGCTCATAATTAAAGTTTGGTCCTATTCTCTAATAAATTTCCAATTGTTAATTTACTTTTCTCCAATTGTTGGGCCCTTTCATCAGGTCTGATAATAGCCTTGAGAATAGCTGAACTAATTTCTAGTTTAAAATTTTGTTTTTGGTACTTATGTATAAGATGTTTGCAGATCTTTATTCCCTCTTGTGAGCTACTAACAGAAATTAAAGAAGATCAAGTTTAGTTGAATCAGAAAAAAAATCAGGGGAATAAAGACTGAAGATAGGTAAATCTAATAAGTGTAGACAAGCAAGAAATAAAACCTTTCCATATGTGACAACCTATGGCAGCTTAGGATTTTTAGTAATCCACCGGTGCCGTTTTGAGTTGTCACGTGGCCTTTCTTTAATATGAGACACCATTCTTTCGCTTTCCGGAGCATATATTTATATTTTTAAATTTTTTCTCTCTTTTCTTTTGTGTACATCTGTTGCGGGTTCAGGGGTGGGGGGGTTGAACTCCTAACCTTGAGGTTTCTCTTTGACTACTTGAGCTAAGGGTCATAGGTTGTTTTAGGAACAATATTTAATTTCAATTCAAATTTCTATTTGTTGTTTGAAGACCACCAACTGTCCTAGAGGAATGTTTACCTGGCTTTGTTACTTGGCCTCTTAACTAAAAAACACTTAATAACACTGGAAAAGAATGAACCTACAACCAAAGAGCAAATGTTTACTGAAATGGATAGCAAAGCCTGGATATTGAATCATCTGCAAGACTGAGACAAGTAAAAAGTACTACAAGCATCTAATTTGTTTTTGATAAGTGACTCAAAGCTTGTTCCCCAATTATCTATAGTAGGAATTTTCTTTTATACCTCAGTTCCAAATAATGATGTCAGATCTAAAGAATATCCTCCCCAGTTAGGCTATTCCAATGTATTTTTCTCTTTAATAGCAAGCTGCTTTCCTAAACTATATACAGGGAAGGACATGAAGGATCAGTGGAATAGAAACTGTGAAACTCAAGAAAAAATTAATTGAGCACTTCGTAACTGTCTTATTTCCCCTATCTCCTCAATATCTTCTCCCTCATTCCTCCTACTCCACTTCCAATAATTAAAAATACATAATGCTAAAACAAATTTAATCTCTCCTTTAAGCATCATGTTTCATGTACTGTCAATAATTTTTTCTCCCTTTATTTTTGGGTTTACATTCTTGTTAACATTTGCAGCTATTTTGGACATAATCCTTAGCCTTAATGCCTGGAGGAGCTTGAGAATACTTGGACATAATCCTTTCCCAGATTACCTAATGAAATTTGTGGTTGCAGCATTCTGCGTTGGTGTTATGCCTATATATTACTTATTCTAAATCTATCCAGAATCCTACAGGGTGAGATTTTTCAATAATTTGGGAAGGAAATATACCAAACCAATCACTATACTACTATTGTGTTGCAATCTAGTTGATACCAAACATATTGGCTGCATTCCTATTTCTCTTTCATGTTGTGCGTAAATCCCTGGAAAAATCAAACTGGCACATTGTTGGGCTTCTTATGTGGTGGTCTCAGGTCAGTAACATCTTTCTTTTGCTACTTGTAAATATAGGACTTTCACACAATTATTCTAATACTGGCTCTTTAAGTTCCAGCCAAAGTTGTATGTTGGAAGAGGGATATGAAATATGAATGAAGACATGTTCTCTCTTTTCAAGTAAGAAGCAATTCTTTTGTTTGTAGATACACCTAGAGATGCATATAAATTTCTAGCTTTCAAATTTTCCTTTCTTACATACTGTTGAAGGTATTATATTGTGTTTAATAGTTTGGATTATATAAATGTTGTGTTGGACAATTGAATTTTCTGTTGGACATGGTAATTTATTTATTATACAGGGAACTAAAAAATATATTTTTTTTTAAAAAAAATTAGACAATAGTTGGTAAAGATGCCTAATGTCTAAATTTTTTTTAAAATATGACAATAGGCATCTATAATTAGTTAGTAAAGACACCTATTGTCCAACTCAAATGAAAGGGACTCATTCCATATGATAAAAATCTGACATTCTATGATAATATGATTGCTATTTGCTTTTAGTACTGGATATTAAATGTCTTGTTGTAAGATTGGACCCTGCATATAGAATCATATATAGGAAGTGGAATGCTACAAATGTTTGAACCTTCCCATTCTATAGATTATAGTGCAAGCAAAGATCCCCCTTCACTTGTTGTTGAAAGTTCCCAAAATCTGCCTGGGAGAGGTGTCTTTGCAACGTTATCTAGCATAGAGGTATTGCATTATAGTAGCATATTATTTAAATTTTCATTTGTCACAACTAAATTACTATTATTGTGAGAAAAAGAAAGTTACTTAAATGAGTTAGAAATTGTTGAGTAAAATTCTCGGAAATGGACCAAGGCCCTCTGCTATTCCTAGAAGGCTCCAAAATTCATCTTTTCTTTGTAACCATGAAATTCAGAAGCATGAAATTTGATTTTCTATCTGTAGCTTCTATCTTGCTGTTGTGGTTCTTCTATCTATATGCCTACTCCAATAATTTCTACTATGTCCTTGTCTACATAAATTATATACTCATATCTTTGGGCATGAATGCATTTGGTTTTACAATGCATGTCTGGATATAGTTGTCCATTCACTGTAGATCTTAACTATTCTTTTTTCTCATCAAAATTGCAACGAATACTAATTTTAGATACTGTTGAATATGCTTTGAGTACATGGTACAGTTAATTGTTGCTATTAGTTCTGCGAGATCCATTTTTTCCCAATAGAAGGCACATTTGAATTATGCCTTTTTTTCTTTTTGTTATAGGCAGGAACTGGAGGTGGCAAACCATTTAAAGCCTCACTTGGTTTACTTTATGAGTCTGAAGATGAATTAACAAAGACAAAGGACTTCTATAATAGGTAGTATTTTGATATGCCATAAATAATAACTTTTTTTTTTAACCCTAAAACCTAAAAAGAGCTCTGTTCTGCATATGGAAAGTTAATCTGCAGGTTGTGTTGGCTGGAGGCATAAGGAGGTAGCTGGCAAGGGGAAGATCCCATTCTAGGATGGAGGGAAAAGGAGGTCCACCAAACTTGGTGGACTCCTAAAGCATTTAATGTAGAGGGATGTTGTTGGCAAGAGAATGATCCCACTGTGGGAAATGAATCCTCTTGTATTCTGGGCAGTATTTGGTTGGGTGCTTATGGCTTGCATTATCTATGGAATGGTGTGTGAACAGAGTTGAGTGGAAGAAATCTGAAGAAGGGAGGCAGTGCAAATTTCCCATTGGAATGGAGAGTAGTCCACCAAGCTTGGTGGATCCATGGTGGTCTCTGGTTTTGATTCTCAGACCTGGGTCTGACTTAATTGTGGCTGAAGCAAGCTTGAAATGAATCATCTGGGTATGGTTTATGAAGCCTTTGGGGCTGAGTTTAATTCCAGGATTGGGCCGTTGAGATTAACAACAAATATTATTTGGGGTGATTTAATTGTCCCAGGAATTAATTCATCTTGGCTTGATAAAGCCGTGGATGAAATTAATGCATCTGGGCTGCGGTATATGGGCACTCTCAAATGGCTATGGGGATGGGCAATGAGAATTTGCTGGGTTGATGTAATTGTCCCAGGAATTAATTCTCCTGGGCTTGATGAAGGGGCCGAATGGGCCAGTTGCTGCTGGGCTGGTTTTAATTAATTGGCCTGGTGAGCATTTTGTTTTGGCAGCTTAAGGAGGCCGTGTGGGCCTCATGGGTTACCAAAAAAAAAATTCTTAAAACCCTACACCCTAACCCAAACACTAAGCACCAAATCCTATACCCTAAAATCATAAACCTTAAACTCAAAAACCCTAAAACTCTAAACCCTAAACCCTAAACCTTAAATCCCAAAACCTAAACCCTAAAACTCTAAAACTTAAACCTTAAATCCCAAAACCTAAACCCTAAACCTTTTCCTAACCTTAGGCATTGCCTCTCAAGAAAGCTACTTCCATTTATCATATTTGTTTCAATCTTGATGCATAATTTTGAAGAAAAAAAAAACCCTAATCCAAACTTTAAACACTAAACCCTACCCCTTTAAGCTTTAAAACCTTAAACCCTAAACCTTAAACCCTTACCTTAAACACTATACCCTTATCTTAACCCTAACCCTTAAACCCTAAAAACCTTACCTTAAACACTATACCCTAAACCCTAACCCTTAAACCCTAAAAACCTTACCTTAAACACTATACCCTAAACCCTAACCCTTAAACCCCTAAACCCTAAACCCTAAACCCTAACCCTAAACCCTTAATCTTAACCTCTAAACCCCTAACCCTAAACCCTAAAACTATAAACCTTAAACCCTATACCCTAAACCCAAAAAAAAAAAAAAAAAAAAAAAAAAAAAAAAAAAAAACCCTAACCCCTAAACCTTCCCTTAAAATTGAAGCATGTGTTCTATCTCAATTAAAAGTCTAAGTTGGTAGTTGAATTGCACATTAATGGTTATATGCTCAACATGCACACTCACGTGTGCGATTCGATTACTTTTTGGGCTCTAAGCAACACGTGGATCATAGTCTTTTTTTATTGGGTGACGCGGAGATTCAAAGTCATGATTTTTGGCATGGCCCTGATACCAAATTGAAGCATGTGCTCCATCTTAACTAAAAATCTAAAACTATGATCCATAAATTATAAACCATAAACCCCTAAACCCTAACCCAAACCTTAAACCCTAAAATCGTAACCTAACTTTAAACCCTAAGTGTTAAACCTTAAAACCCTAAACTCTAAACCCTTAAATCGTAACCACTAAACCCTAACTTTAACCCTAAAAACCCTAATCCCAAACCTTAAACAATAACCCTAAACCTTAAAATCGTAAACTTTAAACCCTAAACCCTAAACCCTAAAGCCTTAAACTTTAAACCCCTAGATCAAACCCTAAAATTATAAACCTTAAACCCAAAATACTAAAACCCTAACCCTAAACCTAAAATACTAAAACACTAAACCTAAAATACTAAAACCCTAACCTTAAACTTGAAACCCTAAACCCTAAACCTTTTCTTAATATGGCTTGCCTCTTTGTTGACTTAACCCTAACCTACCCCTAAACCTTAAAACTGAAACCTTAAACCCAATACCCTTACCCCAAACCTTAACCCCTAAACCTTAACCCTTAAACCCTAAAATGTTAAACTCTAACCCCAAAAATTGAAGCATGTTTCATCTCCACTAAAAGCCTAAGTTGATAGTTGGATTGCACATTATGCTCAACATACACCCTCACGTGTGCGAATCGATTACTTTTTGGGCCCCAAGAAACACGTGGGCATGTACCAAATTAGGGTTTAGGGTTTAGGATTTAGGGTTTAAGGTTTAGGGTTTAGGTTTAGGGTCTAGGGTCTAGGGTCTAGGGCAAGGTCGTCAGGGGTCTGGGGTCTAAGGTCCAGGGTTTAGGGGTCTGGGGTTTAGGGTCAGGGGTAGGGTGAGGGGTCTAAGGTCAGGGATTTAGGGTCAGGGGTCTAAGGTTTAGGGTTTAGGGTTTGTCTAGGGTCTAGGGTTTAGGGTTTGTCTGGGGTCTAGGGCAAGGTCGTCAGGGGTCTGGGGTCAGGGGTCTAGGTCGTCAGGGGTCTGGGGTCAGGGGTCTGGGTTTAGGGTTTAGGGTCGGTCTTGGGTCTAGGGTCTGGGGGTCTAGGGCCAAGGTCGTCAGGGGTCTAAGGTCTGGGGTCTAAGGTCTAGGGTTTAGGGGTCTAGGGTCTGGGGTTTAGGGTCAGGGGTCTAGGGTGAGGGGTCTAGGTTTAGGGTAGGGTTTGTTTAGGGTCTAGGGGTCTAGGGTCTAGGGCAAGGTCGTCAGGGGTCTAGGGTAAGGTCGTCAGGGGTCTGCGGTATGGGTCTGCGGTATGGGTTTAGGGTTTAGGGTTTAAGTCGGTCTGGGGTAAGGTCGTCAGGGGTCTGGGGTCTAAGGTCCAGGGTTTAGGGGTCTAGGGTGGGTTTAGGGTCAGCAGGGGTCTAGGGCAGAGGGTCATCAGGGGTCTAGGGGGTCTAGGGTCAGGGGTCAGGTGTTTAGGGTCAGGGATCTGGGGTCACCCAGGGTCTGGGTCCAGGGGTCAGAGGTCAGAGGTCAGGGGTCAGGGGTCAGTCAGGGGTTTGGGTCCAGGGTCTAGGGTCTGGGGTCGTTAGGGTCTGGGGTCGTTTAGGGCGGTCTAGGGTCAGGGGTCTAGGGTCTAGGGTTTCTAGGGGTCTGGGGGCACCCAGGGTTAGGGTCCACAGGGGTCAGGGTCCGGGTCGGGTTAGGGTCCACAAGGGTCAGGGTCCGGGTCGGGTCAGGGTTCACAGGGGTCAAGGTCCGGGTTAGGGGTCTAGGGTTTAGGTCTGGGGTCAGGGTCCAGGGTTTAGGGTTTAGGGTCAGGGGTCTAGGGGGTCTGGGGGCACCCAGGATCAGGCTCCACAGGAGTCTGGGGTCAGGGTCCAGAGTCTAGGGTCAGGGGTCTAGGGTTTAGGGTTTGGTCTAGGGTCTGGGGTCTATGGGGTCAGGGTCCAGGGTCTGGGGTCTAGGGGATGGATATAGGGTTTAAGGTAGGATTTAGGGGTTAAGATTTAGAAGTTGGGTGTTAAGGTTTTAGGGGTAGGGTATAGGGTATTATAGGGTTTAGGGTTTTAAAGTTTAGGATTTTTTTGGGGTTTAGGTTTAAGGTTTAAAGCTTGGGTTAGGTTTAGGGTTCAGGGTTTAGGTTTTAAGTTTTAAGAGTTAGTGTTTAGGGGTTTAAGGTATATAGTTTAGGTTTAGGGGTTTAAGGTATAAAGTAAAATCATACTTTATTAATAAAGTATATAGTTTAGGGTTTAAGGGTTTGGGTTTAGGGTTTATGATTTATAGTTTTAAGTGATGAGGATATAAACTATCAGCTTAAGTTAGGTGAAGCACATGCTTCAATTTTGGTATCAGAACCATGCCAAAGGTCATTAGTTCGAATCTCCGTGCCAACCGAAAGACTTTAGTCCACGTGTTGCTTGGAACTCGAAAAGTAATCGGCCCGCACACGTGATGGTGCCTGTTGAGCATCATTAATGTACAATCCAACTATCAGTTTAGACTTTTAGTTGAGGTGGAGCACATGCTTCAATTTTAGGGATTAAGGTTTAAGATTTGGTTAGGGTTTAAGGTTTTATGGTTTGGGTTAGGGTATAAGGTTTTATGGTTTGGGTTAGGGTATAAGGTTTGGTATAGGGTTTAAGGTAAGGTTTAGGAAGTTTAGGGTTAGGGTTTAGGGATTTTTAAAATCGAAGCTTTTGTTTGAATGAGTTTAAGGTTTAGGGTTAGCATTTTAGGATTTAGAGTTTTAGGGTTTTTGAGTTTAAGGTTTAGGGTTTATGATTTTAGGGTATAGGATTAGTGCTTAGAGTTTGGGTTAGGGTGTAGGGTTTTAAGATTTAGGTTCAGGGTTTTAGGGTGTAGGCTTTTGTGTTTAGGGTTTCAAGTTTATTATTTAGGGTTAGGGTTTTTTTTTTTTTTTTTTTTTTTTTTTTTTTTTTTTAAGCAAAGTAGCCCCAATAATCCATTTCAGCGTACTTGGAATAGAACAGCCTAGCCGGGCATGTCCAGAAATCAAGGCCCAATACGGCCCACTCCATTACCAATCAGCCTCCAAAGGCCCCAGCCTAAAATGGAAAATAATTCCCACATTAAATCAGGCCCATTTGGCCCAGCAGCTTAATAGGCCAATAAAACTCGGCCAACATAGACCATCCAACCTAGATTATTTCCCAGCTTCTACATTATTATTCCAGTCCCTTCTTCATTGCCAATATCATTCATAAATCTGCCCAGAATCACCATTTCCTCCATTATTATCCATTAATTCCAGCTTCATTTTGCCCAGAATACAGGTCATCCAACACAGACTCATCATTTTCAATGTTGTCATCATCAGAACAGCATCAAGTATTCAGCAGATGAGAAGCCATTAGCAGAACTCCTGCTGCATACATCACTGAAGCTTCATTCTCATCTAAGAGCAACTCAACATCATCTTCCTGCAAGGAATCAGCTCCAAGAACATAACAAACAGCCCTCCACAAAAGTCTAAGCTGCTGTGTCAATGGACACCTCATCTTAACAGCTTGATTTTATTTCCAAAGACCCTGTAGATTCAGACAAACCAGCCACTTCTAATCTGTTCAGAACTAGCTGCTCCACCAAGATAAGTAAACATTTGCTCTTTGGTTGTAGGTTCATTCTTTTCCAGTGTTTTTTTAGTTAAATATTCCTCTAGGACAGTTGGTGGTCTTCAAACAACAAATAGAAATTAAATATTAAATATTGTCCCTAAAAGGCTCACTTCTCCAGTTTGGGATCCAACAGTCCTCCACAATTAATGCTTTAGACTGTTGTTGCAGTGCTAACCCCCATCAACAAACAAAGATTGATGCCTCTTCTCACACTTCATCCTTGTACAATATCAAGCTCAAACCAGGTCTG